TAAAGTTAAAGTTAATACATATCTCCATGAAAAATAAGAAACACAGTATCTACCCCCCCCCCACATACCAGCTACTCACTATGCACTATGTACTACTCACTATGTTCTTGTTCTTCTTGGAGCAAATGGAATTATTAAAAGGAAAAGGAGAGACAGAGAGACTTTCAGAGTTCCTAATAATTAAATTAATAATAATTAATACTTTTCCAAAGCCTTGAGGTTGTTTTAAGTTGTGAAAGTTTAAGTTGTGAAAGTGGGCAGGAAAGAAAGAGATAAAAAGAGATAACATTCACATTCAGATTGATAGATTGATAGCAGGCTGTTACTAGCTGGACTGCTTATCATCAACATAGAGCTGTCACTGAGATATCAGAGTCTTGGAAATTTCCATGTGGCCAGTAACTCATAAGCATCATATAAAAAAGCTATTTGACATCCAACATCCAGTATCTTGTTAGGAATCAGTTTGGCTTCATGAGGTCATGAGGTGAGGATGAGTTGGATGAGTTAATGAGTTAGGGGCATTGCTTGTATGTATAATAGCTTCAAAGTGGCAACTGTATTTCAAGCAGGCAGTCATTACTGCCAGCAAAGAAAGAAAGCTTCCTTTGGGTAGGGAAGAGCTGAAATACCCAGAGGTGATGGAGGAAGGAAAGCTCAGACAGAGAAAAAAAATGAGGAAGAACTTTCTACTTTCTAGATACACACTCACTGGGGTTTAGCCAGACTGACATTTTACATTTTAATATAAAGAATCTCCATAACATTTACATTTTAATATAAAGAATCTCCATAACAACAAGATAGGGATATCACTAGTTAGTCTAGCCTTAGGAAAGCTGGCTGCTAACTTAATCTTGAATGTGAATGTGATAATCACATTAGTCTTCACATCATTAGTCTAAACCTTGACTTCTCTTGTCCACTCTGAGAACTGCCTCAGCTACACACAGATGATTATTGTCTGATAAAGAACGGCAAGTTACTTTAAGTATAATTTCTGACAACTCTCTGCCTATCTCTCTGCCTATATATAAATAAATATAAAAATTTCCAAGTCTTTATTTCCAAGTCTTTCATACTTTCATACTATGTTTAGTCAACTTCATTCCCAGGAGAAAAAAAAAAAAACCTTTGAATTCTAAATTTTCTATTTTCATAGCGTAATTAATCTAATCTAATCTAAAAGGCAGTATGTCTCATTCATTGGTCTCTATCTACTTTCTAATATTTTTACTATCTTCATTTTTGAGGCCATATTATGTGCCTATGTGCCAGGCATTTGTTTAGGTAATGGGAGTACATTATGCATATGACATATTTCCTACTTTCTTTCTATTCTGAGGCTGCAGATGGATTAACAAATAAATAGTATCTGCTGAGTGAGCACAGGAAAGTAAGCTCTCCAAGGAAACTCGAAACTCAAAACTCTCTTGCTCTTTTGGTTGGAGGGCTCAGGAAAACAGGTATGAAAGGATAAAGGATGGGAAACTCATGAGAGTAGAGTAGTGGAGAGCCTTTAGAGAATTTTAACATTCCTCTGCTGCAGTGTGGAATAAATTTCCGCACAGCAATAAAATAAAAAAGCAAGCCTGGAGACTAGAATTCCGTTTACAAGACAACAAGACATTTTCAGTAATTCAGGTAAGACATGGACAAGAACAAGAATCATGATCATAAAGTAGCTTTACAAGAGAGCAGAACACAAGAGAGCAGAAAAAAATGTGTGGGCTGGAGTACCTAGGTCAGAATTAGCTGAGACTTAGCACAGATGCTTTGGAATCAGAGGCTCTAGGGATAGATAGGGATAGGGAATCTGTATGCTACAATTTCTGTATGCTACAATTTGATAGAAAAGATTTGGTATGAGATGAAAATCAACATGTATATGTATAAGTGTATAAGACTCAATAACCTCATATGTAAAAATAGGAAACAAAAGTACCCCCAAGATTAGTCTGTCTCTTTCTCACCCCATCCTACAGATTCCTACAGATATTACAAACTCTTCCCACTTCTAAGGCTAGAAGGAGCAACTTCCAAAAAGTAATAAAATTGCAAATCACCTTTTGCCCAGAAGGGAAGGTTGTCAAAGGCTGGTCCAGGCATCCAGGCTGGTCCTCTCCTCCATCCACTTCCAGAAGAGTTGTTGTGCTTGCTGGGCTTGCTGGCTTTGTTGTTGACTAGACAACTTGCTACCTGTTGATTGTTGTAGGAATGATCTCAGCCCAGCCTCTCTCCTCCAGTGGCTGCAAATCTTGATTGTTTCTGTCTTCTCTGACATAATGGAGAATTTGGAGAATTACCTGTAGCAAATTTCAGAAAAATACACTGGATCAGTGCTTTTTACATTGCAGAACTACTGCTTTTCCTTCATTCAGTTATCCTGAATATCTATAGATTGCCTTATTTCTGCAGATTAATTCTATAGGCATTCCTCATGTGCTCTTTACAGTAATACTGGGAGGTAAATATTTTTCATACCTCCACTTTACAGTTGAGGAAACTGAAGCTAAGAGAGGGTAAATAACATCCTAACTTATAGAAGTATTAAGTAGCAGAACTGGGCCCTGCATAAAATAACGTATCATTTATAGAATAATTGAATCTTTAAGGCATTTTTTATGTATGAACCAACTGTACATTAGCATACTTAATTATACCCATTCA